GTTTTCTTATTTTTTATTATTGTGCTTGTCATTGATTAGGTACAGAATAAATTTATTTTAATTATTAAAAAACTTATTAACCCACTTAAGATCTTTCTTTTTTTTTAAATTCAACATAAACCTAAAATTGTCAGAAACTGGGCCAGTGTCAATAACTGGGTCTTTTACCTTACACACATTAGATTCACACATTCACAAATACTGGGATGTTCTAGTTTTAAGGAAATGCGAAGATTAGCTCAGGATGGGCAAGAGAGTAAAGGTGCGTGCCCAAACAGTTCTATAAGTGACGACCTTATGATGATGATAATGTACGATTTTGCCGATGCGAGAGCTACACACAACCTTACATAAATTTCCACTAAGGTTATATGTTAGATTATATATCCAGAGGGTTTTAATAATAATTGAGGAAGATAATTTCAAAATTTCCTGTTTTGTTGGATTCACATTATGAACGCTTTATGATAATTATATTACAATTAAAATACTTTATTGTTTCGAATTTAATTGGATAGTACAGCAAATAATATTTTCTTTTAATTGGCTATTAACTTATGTTCGAAATCCTATATTTTTACTCCTCATATGGATAGATACTACATCACTGGAGATCTATATATTTTTATTTTGTTTCGAATTATATCCATTTTGACACTAGGCTTAAGATCGACTGCATCTAATTTCTATGTTTATGGGAAATACATTTAATTGGGCTCAAAAATTTCAACATTTATTCTGATTATCCTGTTACACAGATTGATGTTTTAGATTTATTAAAATGATACTAATGATTGAAACTAATGTAAAATGACCAAAGCTGTCGTTAAAGGAATCTGGTATTGATTTTTGAGACCTATTCAACAGCATTCCAGCTGAAGATGGATAACTACAAAGAAGCTACAATAGGTGTTCTTTTTTACCATTTAACTTTAGAATTTTACTACATGTTAGGTCCAAACCGTTTGAACGTTTTTCCTTTTTATTATTCTATGACATACTATGACATAGATAAGTTTCAGATGAGATCATCATTATTTCGTAAATGGTTGATAATATAGAAAAATTGTTAAGGAAATCTGGCATTGATTTAAACAATATCCCATTCAAAATTGAATTAATTGAAATTGAATAAATTTAATTTCCACTTGCGCCCGACACAATTTTTCTTCTTTTTTTTTACAGAACTAATGGACACACAATTATGATACTTAATGTTTGGAACCCGTAAACGACGCACAATTTATTTGTAAAGTTTGAATCAATGGATTATTTATATAGGGTGCCAGATTAACACGACTGAATGTTCATGGTTAAAAATTTATTGATTTCTGGTATGGTTTCCAGTGACTATTTTTAAAAAGTTGTATTAACTATTTTAAGCAAGAGTATCTTGAATCTCCTAACAAAAAATAATTCTTTAAAGTCCGTTTTTTTTTTTCGTACAAAGGGGAACGCTTTAATAAATTTCATTATGGGAACCATTTATCACTTCCAAATATCTTTTTTCTCGTGGTCTACAGAAAAGTGAGAAAAGATGTTTCGTTCCGAGAGCACGTCTGTACTCATCAGTAAGGCTGATGACGTGCTCTCTGCTTTAGATACCTGGAGACCTGTGGGGTGTGTGACGCGAACTGGCGCGAGACAGGAGGGTCGCCACAGTTCTTTTGATTTTTGCAAATCTTCATGAACAATTCTCTTTCTGTCATATTCTGCATATTTTATATATTTTCTACTAATTCTGTACTAAATAATACACAGCTTTTTTAATTTTATGATGTGTTACTTTCTATTACTTTTAAAATCTTTATTACTTAGTTACCAAGTAGCCATTAGTCTCTACTTCTTCTATAATAAATATATATATATATTTTAAATCATTTTTTATTTATTTAACTCCTGATTCCACATATTTACAAATATAATTCATTATTTTTTTTATCATATTTCTGGAACTAATAATAACAACAATGTCATTTTGACATTGTTTACTCTAAGGAACACTTGTACATACCAGTGGCTCTTAAAATTAAAAAAAACGTTAAAACTAAATAGAAAATATATAATATAGTTAAACCATATATAACATATATTTTTGACGTTTACTGTAAAACTATTGACATCTAGGATATAATAAAGATACTATAATACACTAGCAATCAAGTTTCTATGCTAAAGCATACTTACCAGATGATAATCCTGTATTTCTTAGAGAATGACATTTGCTACCTTGTTAGAATCTTATGATTATATAAACCCAATCTATAACCATATACATACATTACAATTATCTCCATTTATTCATTCATTCATCAGTAATTTTTTTTAATGTAAGATTTTGTATGTTATTCAAATCATTCTGATTATTGGGTAGTTAACTAAACGTTTTTATTGTTTTTTAAACCGCTATTTAGTATTTATATGGAGTAGAGGCTCATTATAGCAGTATTATTAGCATCTAGCAAGGAGGAGTTCGAGATAGCTTTAAATAAAATGGATGCGATNAATATATGGATATCGTAGGTAGGGTTTATACAAAAACCGACATTTTAGAAAACCGGTTTTCGAATAGTAATTTTTCCAGAAAACCGGTTTTAACCGGTTTCGAATTTTTATAAAAAAATTTTTTGCTCGAATATTCTGTAATTAGAACAAAAAATATTAACAGAAATTTTAGAGTGATTAAAAGCAGTTTTTGACTGAAATTATTTACTGAACACTAAAATGAACTCTACATAAAGAAACCAGAAAACAAACTGATATAAAATCTAAATTAATTCATCTAATAGACAAAACACACCAAACCGCTTGTGACCGATATGATTCCAACAACAAACCGCTTGCAACAGTGTTTTCATCAATCTGGTACATTTGACTACATTTGTCATGTTTTTAGTTTATATCGTGCAAGCTTTGTTTATAAGTTTCCCTGTACTTGTTACAATTATTTATTTACATTTTTATTATTTTATTCCATTCCTGTTTTCAAAACTCTTGGTTTCGAGTGTTCAAGTAACAAATAACAAAAAGATTCGAATCGTTCGAATGTTCTAAATTGAATGAATCATCGTTGTTTGTATTTGCAGATGTTTCACGGGTCAGACTTGTTTGATACTAGATTTGAAAGAACCAATCAAATCTCGAATAAAACCGCGTCCAACAATTATAAATTGCCGCTGTGACATCTATTATGTACTATAGATTAATGAGTTCTTTTTCTATTGATTCAAGTGGTCCCAATACATTTTTGTCTACCCCACACTACAGTCTCATACGTTACGACGCTATTAAATATACCATAATGTATTTGCAACAGGCTTTTTGTGTTCAAGTTGTCTTTAATGCGTCAAAAATATTGGGATCCGTCAAATGGGCATACACCATCTGGTGGCAAAATTTATAACTGGAATGAGGGAAAAATTTACATAGGAACTGTGCACGAAAATTGTAAAATT